GGGTGTGGCTGGGGAGAGAGGTGGTTTCGTGGGTAGATTGGGGTAGTCAACGCAGGAAAATGGGGTCAAACCACATTTTCCGACATAAAGGTATTGATTTGCAAAAAAAAAATTTGATTAAGGTAAACTCTTGAACCCCATTCCAAAATTCCAATGTATCGCGTCTACCATACATCCAACCACGATCCTTCTCCATTTAGTAAATTGTCTCTAAACATATATAGCAACATATAATGAATAATGTGTAATTGCTACATATTTTATGTAAATCAAATTCAAGTACAAAACGTGAATATACCATTCATATAGTGAAAAAATGCATGTTTCCAAAGGGTCCTTATCACTCCAACCTAACCCACCCTTGAATGTCTACTCTCACTAGTGAATGTATGTTAACTTTCCAATTTTAAGGAAAATTCGGCAACATTTCCCCCTAGTTCTCCAAGTACACGATGTAGATAATTAATTACCCACATATGTACCCCAGAGAACATAGTGAGAAAATGGTAAGCCAAGATGTTCCTTAAAATTGAAAAGAAAACATACATTCACCACCTAAGTGAGAGTACACATTCAAGAACAGTCCCAACCGAGGACTATTCAAGACTTTCTCCTAATGAGAAAGCCTTGAACGGGTATCTAGGCATATGATGATGCAAGTATTCTATATGTTGTTGTATTTATTTGCAATAAAACAATACACAAGTTGCAATTTCATGAATAAACTTTTATTAAATGGATAAATAGAAAGAAATATAGCTTAGTAAAGTTTATAAGTCATACCAATATAGCAACTACCCACTTGAGCTCAATATGTAGTCCTCAAGCTAAACTCGTGCTTCAATTCACAAATCTATTAAAAAAAAATAATAAACAAAAATTAGGTTAAATATTATGTATGTACTATTTCTTTCTCATAACATGTCAATTCACTAATTTATTTATAAACTAAAACACATCATTCATCGAACTAACAATTGCTAAACTATGTATTCACTACTTTAATTCATCTAATTTATTCAAAATTGCTAAACTAACAAGGTTACTAATCTCTAATTTTTTTCATAATTACCCATCAAAACAACTTAAAAGTAACCATTCACTCATTCCAAAATTCATCTACTTTAGTAACAAGTTTACTAATCTCTAATTTATTCAAATATACCCATCAAAACAACTTAATATTAACCATTTAAACTTTCCAAAATTCAACTAATTTAATAACAAAGTTTCTAATATCTAACTTATTCAAAATAATCCATCAAAACAACTTCAAATTAATAACCATTAAAAGTAACATACCAAATTTCACCTATTTAATTACCAAGGTTAATATTCTATAATTATTTCAAAATTATCCACCAAAACAAATTAAATTAACCATTAAAACATAATAAAATCCAACTAATTGAGAAAAATCACTAATATTTTCACAAATCCCCAATAAAACAACCTAAAATTGAGAAAAATTAGAGTATAATTATATCCAAACCTAAATTTTAATTTGCAAACAATGATTCAACATGAAAAACACATTAATATAAGTACATAATTAGAAAATAATTGTGAAAAAAAGAAAAAACCTTGAAATTAGTGAGGAAATTAGCTCGGTGGTGGAGGAGGGCAGCAACAGCACGGCGAGCTTAGGGCAGCAAAAGCACGGCGCAGCGACCTTAGGGCAGTAGAAGCATGGCGGCGCGGCGACCTTAGGGATGTGGCGCGGCGAGCTTAAGGTGGTGGCACGACTTAGCTTCAACACCTTCACAACCCACTTGAAATTGAACAGAGAAAGAACAAGGGAGGAAAACCCGATCAGGGGAGAAAGAGAAGGGCGGGGCTGGTGGCCGGCGACGGTGGCAGCTGTAATGGTGGTGGGAAAATGGAGAAAGAGAGTGCAGTAAGCTAAGGGTTTGGGCTCGAATGAAACAGTGAAATGAAAGAGAGAAGGAAAAAGAAAGAAAGTATAAGGGCCAGGTTTTTTATTTTATTTTATTTTTTTTATTTTTAATGCAGCGGTTCACTAGCACCGGTTCAAACCGGTGCCCTTTTTATTTTTGGCACCGGTTTGGCCTGAACCGGTGGCATTAGGGGGCTGCTTATTTGCATTTTTCTACTAGTGCACAAGTATTCTTTCCAGCTCAAAATCTTGTGCTTTCTCACTTCCTGATGACCTTAGAATTCGTACTGATAAAGAGCTATTCCTTATATATGTAAACGTTAAACCATCACCAACACTTATCCCATTCTCTTTAACATAATCAACCCAACCACCTTCTAAGATAGTCATCCAACCATCTCTGGACTTTTCATGTGCCATAGTAGCTTCCCAAACTCTACCATATTCATGCAATTGCAAATCAACTCCTTTAGAACCATCATTCAAGATGTCCTTAAATTCATCAGGAATACGTTGTAGATTAATATGCATTAGCAAAATACCAACTCAATATATAAGCAATTAGCAAACAAAATCAAAGCAGAAAGTAGTCTCATCAAAACATATAACTAAACCTACTTTTCTTTTCAAACATAACAACAATAATAAATCAGTAATTATAAATTTCATATCAGCTTATCTTTGTGTTGATCTTCATAACGAATGGTGAATGTCATCGCATAATTTGCCATTCAAGTTCCTGTACAAGTTACTAAAATATATATCTATACTTAGCTTTTTATCAAAATTTAATAGCTAATTTATACAATAGTAAACACTGCCATATATATAACAAAGTTATTGCCAAAAATTTATAACATATTAATTGCAATTAAATATTACTTTGACAAGAAAGGACTTTAACAAATCTGATTTTCAGAAACTGAAATCTTAATTTCAATATTACTTCCCAGTGGTCATACTAGCAATAATTACAAGTCAAGTATATTCAAAAGGGGCATAATAATCTACACAATTACCACAATAGCTAATTGTCCTCATCATACACTAATGTAATCTTCCAATATAACAATTGATTTTTTTTTTCTAAATTAATCTATCCATGAATATAATCTGATATGTATACATGCTACAAATAGCAAGATATGTCACTACTTATTAATCTGAAATATGCCATGCAAAACTGTACAAATAAGAGCCATTATCATATGTGTGCATATAAAAATAATACAATTAGCATCAAAGTTTTAGTAAACAAATTTGCATGCATATATTCATTAGTACTAACCATTTCTTACGCCCTGATAACCTATTATATTTCTATATTATTGAAAATAATCAAAATACATAGATCAAGATATAACGTATATAGTATGAAACACTTTAATTTTGTAACAATAATATAAATCTTAATTATACAAACCCAAATTATATACATGATAATACAAATCAAAAATGATGCATACAATATAAACAATTTTAGACATACTACAACTAAAGATGACTAAATTTTACATACGCATTCAAATTGTTTAATTTTTATAAAAATCATAATTAAAACCATATAGAAGTAATATTGAATACAAATATTGTTATTATATACGTAATTATTTTCACTCCAAACTTGATTTACAATTTGGTGAGCGCGTATCGCGCGTGTAAAAAAACTAGTTAAGTAAAACATACAATTAACATGAATTTCTGAATCTTATTACTAGCTATAACTTGAAAATGAACATTCATTTGGACTGATATGTTAGGTTCACACTGTAAATTACTCTACTCTCAGCTTATACGTATACAAGAAATGAAAAGTGATTACTTCGAACTAGCTAAAGACGTTAATGAATCATGGGGCCAATCTAGTCAAGAAATAATGCCATTAGGCAATAGCTCCGTGGGGCGGAATAGCAATGCTCGTTGTTGGAAGTTCTTGAAGTAAAACAAAGAAAGTTTCAGGATGTTTCCATATGGAGTCTTTTGACTGTTGGGATTTAATGGCTAATGGAACCCTTTTATTGCTTATTTAATGGGCATTATTGCTGATTCATTTTGTCACTTATTAACTAGTTGTTACCCCTTTTAATGTTGATAAATGCTAGCTCTTATTGGGGAATAATGGGTGGATGTTACACCACTTGATTAATGACTTTTTCCTCCTTAATTGCTGGTCGTTTTACTCTCTCCATTGCCTTATAAATCAACCTTATTCACCTCTAAAAGACATAACAACAAAAAATCAGCCATCTTTGATTTCTTACCTTCTCTTAAAAAATATCCCTTCGGTTTTTGGGCAAGTATTCTGAGTTCCAATCGGGTTTGTGAGTGCATACAAATTCTGGGGCCGTGCTTATCCTGGAGGGTGAACACTTGTTGTGTACTGCACCGGGGTAGCGCGGAATCGTCTTTTAGGTCAGTGGTTCACCACGACGCGGCAATTGTCAATTTGATCCACACAACATTAAGATAAGTATATTCCGTTTAATTTGCTTATTTACTAACAATCTAAAAGACGATCTATTGCTTCCATATTTGATTCTAGCTTGATATGTCATATTAAGTGTCTTATTATAAAGAGTTGTGAATGTTGACATATTATTAGGATATGTTTTTGTTTGGAGCAATTTTTGATACGTGTGTTGTTAGACTAATGACAAAAACAATTTCTTTAATTAAATTAAATGAGTTATTGTTTTTCATATTCATAGGATATTGTAACTTCTAATTTGGTTTGATTTTGGTTTTATATGGTGGATATGATTTAATAGACTTTGGTTTTTTTGCACATGGGTTTGTGTTTGTATAATGTGTTGAGTTGATTCTCCTCACTAATTATTTAGTGGGTTCATCATATTGTTAATTTGGTATATTATATAGTGTGTATTCTATATGTTAGTTGTTGAACGTTGAGTCGTTGAGATAAAATTTTAGTATATGATCTGATGAGCATGGGCTGATTTTGAGGCATTGATCCCTAAACTTTGGCACTTCGATTATTACACAGAACTCCGTAAACTTATCATCTAGTTGAATGATAAGGTAGGTTTGATAATTATGTTTATTCACTACTACATTTTTAATCAAATGCAACGGTTAAAAAGAGTTATTGCAACGGCTCGTTTTATTGCCGTTGCATTAGATAACCCTAATACAACGACATAAACTTTGTACATCAAAAAGTGGGGCTAACGCAACGGCTTCAAGAAGTCGTTCCATTTAGGGGTGCTAATACAATGGCCTAAAAGGCTAATGCCACAGTAGTGATTTTGGAATTTTTAAATGCGCTTAAATTGAGATAATCCGCCCCTCTAATAAGAATTTTGTGAGTCACTAGTTGGAGGACCTCTTTCATACATACCCTCTCTCTCTCTTTCACACACACTCTATCTCTCCTCAATTGAGCAAGCTTTCTGATGAAGCGGCGTACTCTGGGCTTTCTTCTCTCCATTGAAGCTGGGTTGAGGTACTTATTATTATTAATCATCAAATATCAATTTGACAATCTAGGGTTTAACTATCTTTGATTTAATTGTCAACAATCTAGGGTTCTTTGGTGGATTTGAATTTCTAGTAATTTGTTATTTACTCACTATTTGTATCACTTGTTACTCCAATGGTCGTGGATCTTGTGTTCGACCACCATCAGTGGACATTCGTCGCAATGGTACACCTCTCAATCTCTCTCTTTTCAATCATCAATTATAATCTAGTTTAGATTAATTTATTGTGTATGAATCTGATTTATTCGACATAAGTTTGGATTGATTTGTTTGATTTTTTGTTGCTTGAAATGTTAGTTAATAATTTTGAGTTTATTGTGAAATATGCATTTTAAAAACTCCAAATCATTACTATTTTTTGCGCTTTTTGTTTATTTGATCTAATGAGATGTCAATTTTTTCATTTTAATTCTGATTATTAGCTTAGTTTGGTTGCTTTTGAGGTTGAAATCAATTGTTATCTAGGGTTTATGAAACATTTGTTTGTAATATGTAAGTTTTGCTGGCTTTTGAGGTTTGTATTAATTGTTATCTAGGGTTTATGAAACATTTGTCTATAATCTGTAATCTTTTGTAGTGATTTTAGTTCAATATATTGGTATTGTTGTCGGCACACTCAGATTTATCTAAATTTGGGCATTGAAAGATAACTTAAGCATATAAAATAAAATTGAGAATTTACTTCATTTACTAGTATAAACAATGAGTGAATTGAATGCAAAATATTTATATTAAGACTGTTAATCTTTCATACGGAGTGCATACTTCATGAAATGGAAGTTGGAATGATATGACCAAGTAGATATATAGATTCCACTGTTATATACGTACCTCTCTTTTTGTTGCTTCATCGTTGCTATTGATAAAGACACTCAAGCTATCTGTAACGTATTGTAGTTGGTTATTGCAATTATTCCATTTAGTACAGCTTCTGGATTCTTGGTATATGGTGGAAGGTATTAATTGATTTTGGACCGTTTGAATGTAGTGAATTTTCAATCTATTTTGAGAACTGACTTGTTTATTTCCATCCCATTTATATATGTACTGGTTGATAATCAATTTACAGTTGTTGAAGCGATTTCCTATAGTTGTTGTAGGTCGTCAAAAGAAGATCTATGAAGTAATATTTTGAACCCACAGGGTTAGTCAGAAACCAACTGTGTGAAAATCGACTTCCATCTGTTCTGGACAGTTTATGTTGTTATGAAACAAAAGCTTCCTCTTTCCCCCAGACAGAAAAAACGTTCTCAGCTCTGACCTTCATTTTCAGGTGGGGCATCAGCAACTAAGCATTTTTTTTAATTGTGGTATTTATTGGTTTAGGATGTGCGATGATTATGCTAAGCTTTTTCTTAGAAATTTTTTTACTTATGCTTGTTTATGTAAACACGCCCAGAGAACCAAGAAGGTTGGTATTGTCGGGAAATACAGTGAGTATTTTCAATTCTATTTGAATGTAATCTTATTGTATTTGAATTGTGTTACATCGCATGAAGTAATTCTTAGATTATGAATAGAAGGAATGACATGATTTTGAATGGAAAAGACACTTACCACCCTGTGATTATTGAGCGAGTTTTCAGACTTGCTGCGGATTGTGGCCTCTATGCACGAAAGATTTATGGTGGTGCCAAGACAGCTACATGTAGAAGCTCGAAGAAATGGGTTCCCCCACCCGAGGGAACGATTAAACTCAAATGCGATGCCTCACTGAACCTTGAGGGTGGGTGGGGCTTGGTGTTGTTGCAAGAGACTAGAAAGGGAAGGTGTTGTCCGCTTCTTCCAGGCGCACCAGCCCCATGTTGTGGCAGAAAACAAAGCTGCTGCTATGGCAGTCAGAATAGCCAAACGCTTTGGCTTGAATGATGTTATTCTAGAAGCAGACTGTCAAGTCCTTATCTCCAGATTATCACAGGCCTCGGTTTACCTCACTGATCTTGATGCTATTTTAGATGATATATTGTCTTCTTGTGTTGATTTTAATTCTTTTTTGTGGTGCCATGTTAAGTGAGATGGGAATACTGTTGCCCATAACTTAGCTCGTGTTTTGCCTTACGATTTTGAACAAGTTAAGGAAAAACTTCACAAGGACAAAGGTTTTCCTTATGTTTTGATGGATAAGTTATCTCCTTATGTTTTGACGGATAAGTTATCAATATAAGGCACCCATTACGGGTTTGAAAAAAAAAAGAGATTATGAATTATGACCATAATATGATTGATTTAGGTTGTTTAGTGCTGATTATGTTCATAGAAATCATTCTTGATGACTGCATATGATAATCTTTGTTTAGAACAGCTTTGTATATGATTAGATATGGGTAATTTGAAGTTCAATACATGTGGTATCAGCCATCAGGATTTTATTTTGTTTTGCTGTTATGTTGGGTTAGTAGATTGAAAGTGTATGTATGGGTGTATCTTAATTGATGCTTATTGTTGCACTGTTCAGGTACCCGTTATGGTGCTAGTCTGCATAAGCAGATTAAGAAGATGGAAGTAAGTCAGCACAACAAGTACTTCCGCGAGTTCTGAATATGGGGAAGAAAGGAGCATAACCCCGAGCCTGGAAAGCAGAATGCTGGAATTGATCATATCACAGCAAGACTTAATAAAGACACGACACACAAATATTTAATTTTGATACTTATTTCATGGTTTAATTAGTGACATACTATATAATTTTGTAATTTTCCCTAAGGGTAACAAACTAACAATGTACAAGTCTACAACTTATATTAATAAAGTTTGGATTTGATTATTATTGTTGTTGTTGTTGTTGTTATTATTATTATTTCTTTTTTCTTATTGAAAATTATTATAATTATTGTTATAGCCGTTGCGTTAGCACTTTATTGCCATCGCATTAGCTAAATATAGCTACTGCAAAGGCCGTAAGGGTGCCGTGGCATTAGATGTTTAGCTATTGCAACGGATATAAGCTTGCTGTTGTGTTAGGTAATTTTACCGTTACATTAGACCTACTGCAACGGCAGCAGATGCTACGGTGCATGGCCGTTGCAATAGGCCTAATGTCACGGATTTTGATGCCTAATGCAACGGATTTGAGGGTTGCAATAGGTTAAAAATGTAGTAGTGATTATTATTATTAAACAATTTTGTTGTTATATTGTATATTATGTTTTGTGAAGATGTATTTTGCAAATAATTGTTTATTGAGGATTAGGAATTTATTGAATGATAAAATTTGGTAGTTGTACTGTTCGTAGTGTTTTAACACTTGTGATTATTTCGAGTATTTTAATTTTACTCATTCGTGAAAATGTGACCTTACTAATATAGTAATATGGGTTTTTTTTTATTGGCTAATAATATTATGTTGTATATATACATAACTTGTTGCATTCTTATCATTTGGCTTTGACCAAAAAAGGGTTCAAAATTAGGTGAATAAAATATTTCGTATAGAGAAGAAAGGTTTACATAAGGTTGAGAAGTAGTACGCCTGGTTCACGAGGTTCTACCACTGCAGGACCCAAGCATCCTCAAAAGAGGAGTCTCCTTCGGAATATGATAACATGACGGAGTATCATAATGTTTCCTAAATCTCATTTTTTTTGTGGAGTTTTTGTTGATATTCTCTAATGCCTTTAATATGCTATATTGTTGAGACTTTAGGACTTGTTCGTTATTCGCGGATTTTCGGGAGTAGTCCCAAAGATGACCCCCGATCAAAGGTCATCCTTGGTCGGTTTGGGCTGAAATTTTAAGAGTATGTTTGGGGCACATGAGACTTATTTTTCAACGGTTGGATTCTCACTAGCTGCTCAGATTGGTGAGTTATGATGACATCTTGAGGCCCTTATTTACAACGAGCTAAGGACGGTTGGGCATCTCATAGAGGTCTCACACATGTTACTTGATTTAATTCAAGGGAAATTCATTGTAAACCAAGTATCATGTTATTATGTTTATCATTTGGTTTAATTCCTAGTAATCATCTTAACAAATATATGCTTTTGTGGTTGTTGACGAAGTATGTTGAATGTTCAATTTGTCAACTAAATATTTGTTGAATGATTAATAGAAAGTAAAAGTTATAATGTCGATATTTTATGAGTATGACATTATATTGCATATAATTAGTTACCTTTAATTTGTTGGTTCTACATTTTGTGGATTAACTTGTTATTCTGTAGGATGCTTTGAGCAATGTTTTTTAACATATTTTTGAGGTGCATGTATGTACTCCGAGTACTACTATTATCATGATTCATGTATGTGTTGAGTGTGGAGTGGAGATGTACTATGTCAATTGCTTGAATCCATGATATGCAATACTCGTATTGAGAAACTTTGTTCATAACTCAATTGATTTCATTACTTTATTTTTGGTTGATTAACACGTGTAGAATTTATAATTCTCAAACTTGTTGAGTTTTGTGAAGGATATTTTGTGATAACTTTTCTAAGGATATTATATGACTTTCTCTTTGGAGAACTATCGAGTAAAATATTTTGGGAATTAGACTATGATTTTTTTTCCAATATTTTATGATGGTTTATTGTTACCGCCTATATGAATCTTTATTGTCTTATAAATCTTTATGAATAAAGCATGAGTAATTTGTAAATAATACCTTAAATTTTATATGGTGGCTTGGGAGTTAATATTTTTAAGTGATGTTGAATTATTATCTTTGATTAATTCAATGTTTCAAAGATCTTTGCTCTTGTCCACCTTATATGTTATTATACCCAATGCTATGACATAGTTATGAATTATTTCCCAACCATGTATTTGTTTATGCTCTATTTTGGTATTTGAACCTTTTCCTTTCATGTGGAGGTTCATGTTTTATAAACTTATGCGTTTTCTTTATAAGAAATTTATGTTAATAAAGACCCCATAAATGTGAAGTTATGAGGGAGGTTTTTATATCCAAATATTTCATTCATTGAGAATGTGGGTGCATTGGTAAGGGTTTTGAATCGGACTTTGTTGTGAAATGTGGGGGAAGTAATAAAGAATTAGTGTTGGACTCAAAGTCTTGACTCAGTTTTTGCTTATTAATTGCATATAGTTCATGACTTTGTAGGCGAGTCTTGGAGTAATTTTTATTCTGAGCCTGATTGATCCTTTATATGGATAATTTGTCTTTGAACATATTTGTGTGTTAGCACTATGTTTCAAGTGATTAGATATGCACATTGTAATGTCATATCGTTCTTTCTTCTTTTATTAACGGCGATGGATTTTTAAATTTGGTAAAAATGAGAGGCACTATTAATGTTAGAGTTTTCTATTGTTTAATGTGAAGTCCGAAAGTGATTAATTGTGCTAAAGACAATTTTTTGATCGAGATTGTCTTACAAGATTATTTTGGTATCTTTATGTCTTTAGAGTATCAGCTTTAAACTAGTGAAATGGCATGAGTGATTGTTTTCGTGGATGAAATCGTTGACTATGAGTTAGGTTATGTCTAACTATGTGTAGAATTCTACAATCTTTTTCTTAGGATTGTAATGCTTGATATTTCTTCTATGGATTTTATTTGTTGCTAATTCACTAAGTTTTTTTGGAAGTCTTTAAGACTAAACTTGTGATGGATGAGTCATTGCTATAATATAAAAGTTTTTGATCTTATTGATCATATGGGAGCAATTTGTGTCCATTTAGTAGTGTTATGTTTCTTGGGAACTATGCTTAATCTAACGTTGCTTATTTTGTAAGTAGATTAAGCAAGTATACTCTTAACTCGAGCAATGATCATTAGATAGTTTTGAGAGGTTTCATAGGTACTTGAAAAGTACAAACAATTAGAGTTTGCTCTATTGTAAGTTTCCATGAGTTCTTGAAGTTTGACAATGAGTACAAACTCAAGTGGTTATGTCTGCATCACTAAGTGGTGGAGCTATTTTTGAAAATTGTGCAAAGAAACCTTGATTTGCTATGTTTATTTTGGAATAATATAAATTTATTGCTCTTGAATTGACAGGTTATGAGGCAAGATGATCAAGAGTATATAGCTCTTATGAGCAAATATGCTTGCAAATATCCCATTGAAGGGGAATTCGTTGTGATTCGCAAATCGTGGTTACTTTTGATTGAACCATGCCTATAATGGTTGATGTCAAAGATGATTTGTCGAATGGGGTGATATCACTAGAATACTACATAAAGTCTAAAAGAAATGTTAAGGATTCGTTATCTAAAGGCCTTGTACAAAACTAGTTTTGGTAACATCGGAGGGGATGGGACTAAAAGCCCAAAGCATGAATTACAAGTAATCAACTCCTTCTCATTATAGTTCAAAGGGGAACATTATAAAATAATTCGGAAGCACAAAAATTTTATTTTTGTCCATCCCTAGATGTTTGATATGAGGTTGCTACAAATGGAAAGAGGATGAGCAAATGGCTCTTAATGAACCCATATCCATATTTTTGGTGGTGTGATGTAGCTCACACTTGATGGGATTCATCTACTTAAGTGTCGAAGTGTGGCCACTTCATATGAGTATTGTGAGGGCTAATACTCTAGAGCACCTATGATCATCCAGGCTGGACGTATGGCCAGTATAATGCGTCACCTTTATTCGCTGAATTTCAGAATATTATACATGTTCAATTGTGTGGCTCAAAGTGACGGGTCCCTAACTCCCTATTAAGTTCAAGACGAAGGTCACTTGGTAGGTGAGGGATCATAGCTTGATGTCCACTATGTGTTAATTCAAGTTGCGAGATATTGACACTTATACAATTGCTTTGTTTTGTCCAAAACCAATTTTCTCTCTTTCTTTCTTTTCACTTCTTCGAACCTGTGGGGGATTGTTGGAAGTTCTTGAAGTAAAATAAAGAAAGTTACAGGATGTTTCCATATGGAGTCTTTTGATTATTAGGATTTAATGGCCAATGGAACCCTTAATTTTAGCTTCCTCTTATTGCTAATTTAATGGGCATTATTGCTGATTAATGTTGTCATTAAAAGACTAGTCGTTACCCCTTTTAATGTTGATAAAAGCTAGCTGTTATTGGGGATTAATGGGTGAATGTTACACCACTTTGTTATTTCGGATGATATACTACAAGAGGGGGGTGAATTGTAGTATGTTCCTAGTGCCGACTTTTCGCGGAATATAAAACTGATTGTTGTTAGGAACTTAGACAATGCAAAGTGGATTTTACGAGGAAACCATCTAGGGACCAACTGGAATTAAAACCTCGACCCTCCAAGGGATTTCAAGCCAAACCAATCCACTATAATAAGCCAAACACTCCTAGTTACGAACCTATTACAAACAGACCTTTCTCACATGTTCCTGACTGAACTTGCTACACGATAAGACGCTATCTTACCCAACCTAACTCCCAAACTTAGATTCACTCAGCTCTCCCAAAATGCCTACACTCGGCCTCTCACTAGAAGCTCACACATTGCACTCTTACAATACAATATTATAAAAACGAGAATCCTCACGAACTCTTACACCTTAATACATAAAACACTCAAAACCCTTTTTCCCAATTACAAGATCTCAAAGAATAACTCTAAATACATATTAATGAATAAAGAGATAAAACAAGTATGCTGGACACTTAAGCTCTGTCAGGAACTTACTTGGCGAAGTGAAACCAAACTTAACTGGAACTTCGACCTGGAGGTTTGACTTAGCTTCGTGGTGAAGGATGAAACCATTAAGCACGACCACTAAGCTTCGTCAGCCTCCCCTTTGAATGAATACATATGAGCATATTTATAGTACACCCAAGTTATTTTTTTCGTAAAAGGTAAGTTTTATT